CAGGTTGCCGGGGCGGCTTGCAACAGGCCTTGCAGCTTCCCAGCCACCTGCTGAGAGCAGCCCAGGCTCCTGGCTGGCAGCAGCCACCCAGAGCCGGCACCACCTGTAGCTGGGAGGCTGCAAACAGCTGCTGCCTCCCAGTCCCAGCCCCAGTGTGCGCCAAGGAAAATGGCCTCGTGTGCCGTACTCAGCGTGAGTGGCAGGGGGTGCTGATCCCTGCTCTTACAGAATACCCTCCCCACCTACGCACAGGGCTATAGGCTCTAGAGAATACCTGACCCTCCCACAGAGCTATAGAAGCAGTACAGTAGTACAAGACCCCTTTAATCTCCTGAAAGTTAAGACCGTAATGTTGGTCTTCTACCCTCAAAAAAAAAAAAAAATTAAAAAAAAAAAAATATAAGGCAAACTGAAAATTAGCAGGATGCTTGCTGTAAGTCAAGGCAAGATACACTGCCAGAGCTCTGTTAGCTCAGACATTATGTAGGCAGAAGCTCTAAGGCAAGGATATTCCTCCCATTTTCACAACTGCTAAAACTCACTCAGGTTAAGAGCGTGATAGGTTGGACAGCTCACTTAAATTTCTAAACATGCACTTTATTATTAACTATATCTGAAATTTTGTTTTTTCTTCTAAACAACTGTATTTCTTACCTTACGAGAACACTGAGAGCTCCTAATGGAGTCACTAATGTAGCTGGTGCAAATGCATAAGCTGCAAAGTTAGCTACTTCACCAGCTCCCACTGCAGAAAGAGAGTCAAGCATGGTTAAAATAAGAGAAACCTCTGGAACTAAATAGGTGTTCTCACAGAGAGAAATGGATAGTAATATCCAGACCAGAGGAGAAATCTAATAGCAATTTCCTGGTATGGATGTTAAATGTACACAGACTTGAAAACACAGCTGTTAAGTATTCTATATAATAAAAAAAAAACCTGCATTTATTTTTAAATATTTTGTATTTCTATACCCAAATTCAGGTCTTTTGACTCTTGCAAAGAAGATGGGCAACCATGGTCTTCTAGGAAGTAGTAAAAAGATCAATGCAAGTAAAATTAGGCACAGCCACACAGTTCAAGTCTAAATTTAGGTGACATACACAGTTTAACAAGCCAGAGAGAAAAATGGTTTCAAGTTGTTAAGTAATTATTTTTAGATGAATAGCTTTTTATTTTAGACATTCCTTTGCAGAGGCAAAAAATCAGAAAGGTGCCAAATTCTCAGCTGATAAAAGAAAAATTCTACAAAAATCAAGGAAGTCACACCCTGGGGAATCTATTCATGTATTTTAATATGAAGAAACTAACTATGATTAAATTATTACATTTTTAATCTTTGGGAACACAGCTATACTTCATTACTAGCTTCAGATAAGTTTATATTTTACTTTTTTTTAAACTAAAAACCTTAATGTTGGTTAGGAGAGTTTCTGGTACTTACTAGAGAGAAGTCCAGCCCACCACAGCCACTCTTTAAGGTAGGCATGGCCACCTTGACCTAGGATCAGAAAAGAAGAATTATTAGCAACAAAAGAGCAAGCACTGATCACTTTTATTGATAAAAGACAGCTATATTTAAAAAAGTATAGTTTCAACCAATGTGTCAAGTACTGATGGCTATCTATCTTTGTAATTGTACTTGCACAATATAGCACACGGTCAGAGGCCAGGGACCGAAGTCAAAGTATTTCCAGCATCTTAAGTCCAGATAGTTCAAAGTAATATTTTTTTAAAAGATGATCCACTTGCATAATTTTCTTTTCCAGTAAAAATACACATGCAGACAATGTGATGATTTGTCATTCCTGAGTAAATGATATCACATGTAAAATGTCAAATTAAATTAAAGGTCTATGACATACATATGGGTTTAATTAACTGATATGTATTCTTCACTGCAGCTCTTTAAACATACAGTCACTAGCATGTGCAGCAGAGCTCACTCACACGGTGCAAATGCAGGTGTGGTCTGACCCCTGCCCCCCCATCTCCTCAGTCTGTGGTTCCCCAGCTGCACTCTGCATGGGGCTGAGCCCTAGCCACTCATGCCTGAGGCAGCCCATGCTGTGCTCCTGCCTGCACTTGCCCTATGCCCGCCAACAGCACCAGGCTCTGGCTGCCTTCCACCCACTCAGCTGCCTATAGGTGGCTGCTCATCATGCTGGGTGGGCGGAGTGGGTGGAAGGTGGCCAGGAGCTGGAGCCAGAACCGGAGCCCTGTGCACTGGGGCAGGAGCCACCCAACTTCATCTTCCCCATCCCCACCTGGTTGGGCATGTGGTGCCTGGCATGCACCCCCATGGCTGCTACTACTTTCCCATGGTACCTGCTGCCCAGAGCTGTGCAGCAGGGGCAGAAGGAGGAGGAACTACTGCTACAGGTGCAAGCTGAGCAGTGTCTGGGTGGCTGCAGCACCAGCCGGCCCTCCAGGAAGCCAGGCACACTGGCCGACGCCATGGCCAGGGTGGTATCATCAGTTGGCACAGAGTTGGCCGCCCCAGGCAGGAGCAGTGGGGTTCAGCTCTATTCAGAGTGCTGCGGGGGCAGCTGTAGGTCGGATACAGATCAACTGGTGGGCTGGATTCAGCCCATGGGCCATATTTTGCCCACCCCTGTCATAAACAGTTGCAGTAGTCTGTTACAGGTCTCAACTACCACGCTCAGACTTAAAAAATTCTTCCTAATATCCAACCTTAATCTTCATTATCCCCTTTTTCTTAATTTGTATGTTTTTGATTAACATACATTAGCAACAAAGTGAGTTCCATAAATGGACTGCAAAATGGTAAACTGAACATAGCAGTAGTACTTTCCTAACAGAACAGAGTACAGACTCCCAGAAAACCAGAGGCTGCTTATTTCAGGTCTCCAGATTTGTTTGGTATGTGATATCTAAAGTCAAAACACAAACTCAGGAAATTCCATAGACTTCATTAAACAGTAAAAAGTTCTTAAAAGCATAGTTTACCTGCTCTCATGGAGCCCTTCTTGGCCAGCCGGAGGAGACCTTTCTTTTTAAGGATGAAACTCCCTCCGATGAAAATGCTGGAGCTCATAGCCAATACCAGACCAATGTAGAAGTCATATTTTCCACGACTTTGGCTCATTTCGTAAGCTACTGAAGTGTTCAAACCATTACACTGATCATAAAACAGAAGAGTTGCTGCTATCGGACATAGGGTGATGCAACGAAGAAACCTGAACAGATACATATCACAGTAAGTTTCATACACACCGTTTTCTGACAGAAAAACCACACTAGACAGCTCAATGTGTGATCAATTCTGCCCCAAAGACTCTACTCTAAAGGCTGTAAACATATGCTGCATTTCTCCTGGGAGAAAGCCTTTTATCCTTGGATCCTAGAGAGGCTGGCACCACTTGTCCCACTATGTGGGAAAGCCTACTGTGATTTATTAACTTAATTCATTCCAGGAAAAAGCTGCCAGGGTGTGTGCTCTCCCTAGCTACCCACTGGCAGAAGGGAAGCACTTCAGCTTAGAAGGGCTACATAGATAAACAGCTGTTTTGATCCCAATCAAAGCCTGGGATAATCAGTCCCAGGTCAAATGAGACTTCTGTTTACAGCCTAAAGGCTGAAATAGATTAGAAACAAAGTATATGGCATGCAAGTACACACCTGAAATGGAGGCGAGGTAATTAAAGAAAAAAAAAGAAAAGAAAAGAAAATTACTTAATTTTTTTAACTAAAAGTACAAGAGACCCACCAGATAAAAGTACTCAAAGTGCAAGTGTCAGCAGGGAAAGACAACTGAAGCAAAAGCATGACAACAGCAGAACCACGTATTTGGAACATTTAATGTTTTAATCCCCTCATCCCCCAGAACTGCACCCAGTTCCATCTCATGCATATTGAATAATTAGTATTATATATCAAAATCATTACCTATGTTAGCATTAGTTTATAAGGGGTGGTTGAATTAGGACACCTGCAGCATCCCAACATCTGCATAGAAAAATGAAAAACAGGTTAGCATTTATTTCTCAAATCACATAGTAATTCTGTATCTCGAGACAAGAATAAAGCCTTTAAGATGCAATGTCAAAAAACTACAAAAATAAAGTAGGAATTATCTTTATTGAGAAAAGCAGCCCTTACAAATATGTATGAAGCCTGAGGCTTAACAACAGAAGAGTTTATTACTGAAAAGCTTTCACCAAGCCTTGGGACTGCTGAGGTTGAAGTCTGATTACATGTGGGGAGATGCAGCAAGAACAACTGAGTCAGAATCTTGTGCTCCCTTATCTGTTATTTCTTCTAATCTATATTGCTTGTTTGATACATACTGCAATGCAAAATAAAAACATTTTGCATTTTAGTATGCATACACGCAGTTTAAAAACTCAGAAATTTCTTTCTTTTAGGTTTGATAGAAATAATTTTGTTTTGTTTTTAAAGAAGCAGTTGTTAAACCAAACACAACCTTGACAACACTATTACAAAATCCCAGCCTCTGGCTTTTTTACTATTCACTTCATCCAGAAACAGCACACACCAACTACAGATGCTTCCTCAGCCCAACAAAGGGTATTTATACCCCAAAACTTGCAAAGAAGGATTTTTCCAATTATTTGAGTTGGTCTAATACAAGATATCAGATTTACCCAAAGAACCTTGTCTGCCTATGTCCTTAGATCAACACGGATACAACCTACACCCCTACAAATCAGAGGTACTTAACCTTTTGGTCCCATGGGCCACAAATACCTCAGGGCTGGTCCACAGGCCAAATCGAACCCCACATGCCAGGATCAGGCCCCTGGGACCAAAAATTGTCCCCCCCCTCCCCCCCTCTGGGCTTGGGCCCTTGGGGGCCTGGCACTGCCCCCTCCCACCCCAGCCTGCCAGGAATTGGTCCTGAGGGGCCTGGCACCACCTCCTCATACTGGGATTGGTCTTAGAGGCCAGTACGAGGAGTGCTACTGTTCTACCACTGCCAAGTTTCCAGACCAGTAGGCTACAGACCAGATATGGCCCATGGGTTGAGCACCCCTGCTTTACATAACACAGGATCAAGTTCCTATATCCTGGAACTACAGGGCAAATATGATATTTACTCAATTATAAAATGATCCCCATATAAATAGATTCCATATATGGAAAAAGTATACGTTTAGAAACCAAGTACTGGAGGTTTGCCTTGAATTTGTTCCCCTTACACTGCTAGAAGGAAAATAAAATTGGAGGGGGGCCCGCCCCACAGGTGTCCCCCTTGCCTTCTGCTACCCCCCAATTTCTTCCCCCTGCAGCCCTTACCCCCTGCTCTTTATGGTCACACTCTGCTCTCTGAGCATGTTTATTTCAAGGTCATTGTATTCAAATTTGCCCCTCATTTTAACGTATCTGTAATAATTCGCATACAGGCAACTTAGTTCATCCAGAATTGATGCATTTTACCTTTTTGGAAACTGCTGCAAGTTTTATCACAGGTACTCCATAAACACACTTTCAAGCAGCACTTTAGCACTTACTTATAGATAGGATAGAAGGACAGGGATGGGTGGTGGTCCATCAAGTGGTCCAGGTGCTGCCCTGGCAAAGGCAGGCAAGCCATGGAAATTCCAGGCTACCAGCAACTTAGTAAAAGTCATGCCAGGCTTCTGTCACTTTCACATTATACATACAGCCTTCTTCCCTCCTCTCAAGTTCTCCCAAACACTCCTCTCTCCAGAAATGCCCCCCCCCCCCCCACACCCCTTCTT